TTGTTAGTGGGCGGTTTTCATTTAACACCCTGTATATGTCACACCGCGCTTCAAAGAGTTAAAACACATCGACAGAAGATTTATCCTAAACACGAAATATATATATCATTTTAATCTTAATCTCAATACAGTAAGTCATTATTTAATTCGAGAGTGAGAATTGGAATTATTGATTTATTCATAATATTGTTTTACCTTTTTAATACGTGAGGTTGTGATAAGTTCAAACGTGTCAAGAATATGTTTCAACTTTTTATCAGAAATCCTTTGTGAGTGGGCGGCGGTGTTTACACCGGTTACTATCTTGTATACTTTAACAGTCGTCAGCAAAACAAATTTGCTGGCTTATAGTATAGAATCCTTAGAAATAATTTTAAGTATAAAAAGAAGACATGTAAATGTCGTTAATGTTTCAATCTTCAAAATCATTCTTTTCGAAAATAAAGTCTTCAACGTTTCTTTTCCGCGGAAAGAATCGTCGATTGCGACGCCGGCAACAAGACACCCCGGTACACCCGCGAGTTATCAACGAATAACGTTACCTTTATTGGTGCAGGCCGTGTTTTGGAGATCGGGGCTCTTGTCACCACCGATGAGATAGGTGAAGAGCCGCACGGGCATGTGCGGCCAATTGTACCGCTTTATCACTTCCGTGGGCGGGCCGTCGGTGTCGGAGGTGATCAGCATGATGGCCTGGTTACACTGGCTTCCCTGGCTGGTGCGATTGTACTTGTGGAGGATCTCAAAGGCGGTGCTGAGCGCGGCCGAGATGTTGGTCGCGGTGTCTTCGTGTTTCACGATGCTCAAAGCCACCTTCATCTCGTGAACGTTCTCGGGTGACGCTTGCACCAGGCTGTCCTTGAAGCACTGCACGATCTCCTCGGCGTTCTCCCCGTAGCGATACACGTTCACGTAATCGTTCGGCCCCAGGGTGTCCAGGATGACCTTTACCGTGGCCACCGTCAATCGTCGATTCCGGTCAGACGTGTAGGTCGCGCTATCGATCAGTATCGCTAGATCCTTCGGGCTGTTTGCCGCACCGACGAACCAATTCGACATCCTGAAGTCGTACACGTCGCGAACAGTCCGATGATGCGATGACTTGGATGTCCCAGATGTACCCTCCATCGGCGGCCACGATATCGCTGTAATATACAAATGTATAACGATTCTTGCGACTTTTATCAAGAAATCCTTCCAAGAAAAATATTTATAATTAAGCTTACAATCGACAATAACTGGCAACGTGGTTTTCAACACAGAAAATTTATTGCGAAAAAAATACCTCAGCCAGGATTTGAACCTGGACTTCCCTACAGGGCGGGCGTCTCACCAATTCGACCACTGAGGCATTGGTGAGACGCTCGCCTAGAGTGTAGGAAAGTACAGGTTCAAACCCTGGCTGAGGTAATATTTCTTGCAATCAATTTTCTGCGTTAAAAAACACGTTGCCAATTACGGTCGATTGTAAGCTTAATTATTGTTAGTCATGTACTGGCGTCAAATAATTCTTGATGTGAAAAATATCTATGTTGCAAAAGCTTATGCTTACTGATATTGACGATCGTATGATTACGTTTGTATTACTTAAACAATCTTTCGAGTGTTACTGTTACAAAGTGTTGTAAATAAAGCTTGAAATTTTTGTTCTCGAGCTATTTACATGTATTACAAGATTAAAATACATATCGTAAATCGATGTGTGTATATAAGAATTTAAGAAAATAACATGTATTTTATTGTATAAATATACAACACATATATTTTATCAAAATAGATATCTCAACTTTACTCTCGAAAGTAAAATGTTTCAAATAAAGAGTTTATTTTACAGTTTTAAAGAGAGGAAATCATGCGTTTTAACATTAAATGTGAAGTAGCATCGGAGATTATTTGCATGGCTTCTTTGCATGTAATTTCTTTTTTCCACAAGATTTCTTTAGTAGTTCTGTTTATAAAAGTGTTGAAATAGAATCATTTATAGAAAATCAACAATTCACGAAATATCATATACTTTATTCTGATTTAAAATGTGAAATATCTCATAAAATATTGATTCCTCAGTGATTGATTCTGGCTTTTATACATACAAAGAAATGAAATGATTCGGCTGTGAAAAGAATATCGAATTGCATTTTTTTTAAATATGCGATTCGCAATGTGTAACTCTATGGGTATATACTACATATTAACATATCTAGTAGTATATGTATATAATAGTACATCTATATTCTACAAGATTTTATAACCCTAAATATACATTATAATATATTATACATATATTATATAACTATAATATAATATATGTATAATATATTATAATGTATTATATAACTATAATATAATATATGTATAATATATAATATTATAAATACTTTTAATAAATGGTCTCAATATTACTCACTAGGGGCCAGTTTCACAAACGTCTGTTAACTGCTGTTAATTAATTCTCTGAGGCCCGGTTTTTCATTTTCTGGTTAACTGTTGACCAGAACCCACACAGCAAGATAATAACAAAAGGTCTCTTAATGATCTCTCATTTAAGATTGGACATCCAAAAATACCTTCAGAAAGATAACATAATGAAGTCAGAAAGAGCTCTTATGCGCCACTTGTAGAGAAATGAAAGACTTCTTTCAAAAGTCAGCGGAAAGATAACTTTTTTTAGATATCCTATAATACATATCAATATTGCATCTCAAACTACACATATTTAAGAGTGCATGTTTATGATGTCAATATAACATATATTCTATTATAAGGTATTTAAAACGCAAAGCCTTTGGTGAGATATTTTTAACAAGCAGTTTAAAAGGACTTTGACAATGTAAAGAATAGAAATAGTATGAAGGAAAATCATACGAGTGTAGACAAGAGATCGTATAGTAAAAGAACTCACTTTAACATCAGAGGAAAGATAAAAACTTACATGCGGGTGTATCAGTTTATAATACCACGTGCGGTTTTTTTCTTACGAGAAAGTGCTATGCCGCGCGTCCCTCTAGCGGGAACTTTGAGAGGCTTCCCATATGAACATTAAATAAACATCATAAAGAATTTTTTTGAAAGATATCTTATAGAAATAATTTTTAAGATGACATTTTAATGTCGATTTGAAGAGATTTATTAAACTTCCTTCAAAATATATCTCTCAGATATCTTATATAAGAAATCTCTCCAAAAAATGCCTTTTAGACCTCTTATAACAGACATCTTAATATATTTATCTGATAGATATCTTTTTCATTACTTGAAAAGTTATCTTTAGAAAGATATTTTAAAGTGATCTTTCTGACATAAATGCTGTGTGGGAAAAGATAGGAAGTTGAGACCCAGGTAGCACACTGTCGCCTATTAGGCGTCTTTTTACGTATATTTTTGTCAGCACAGTCAGTATGATGCCTAAATGACCCTATACTAACGGCAATTTGTCACAGCAAAATGACGTCATTCGATGACGTCAAACTTACGTCAATATATGACTCTATGTTTGCACGGCACCCTAATCGGGTTTAATAACATCCGTAGTTAAGGAGCTGGCCAATCACAGTCATTCCATTCTTCTGAGAAATAGTTGTGATTGGTCAGTTTTATAACTACAGATGTTATTAAACCCGATTAATGGTAACGTGTAAACGTAGTCTATGGTCGCGTTCAGCAAACACAACTGTTGAGTGAGCGCTCAGTATGATTGGTTAATACTTTTAGCTCCAGCCAATCATGTTAAGAAATCATTGAACGCTCACTCAACAGTTGTGTGTGCTGAATGCGGCCTATGATTGTGTTGCAAATAACAGCGGTCACCCATCCAAGCTTTAACCACATCTGAACGTTGCTTGACCCCGATGATCGGACGGTTTAGCGGTGATCCTCTGGCTCTAACGCTTATCATGCTACGTACGTAATATACTTATACATATACTTGTACATAAAACACCTTTAGTAAATGTTATAAATTAATTTTGACCGTATTTCACACAACATACTTTATTTGGAATATCCTGAAAGATGTACAGGATATTTATGTACAATATATGCCATATTGCTTTTGTGAATTGAGAATTTTCAAAGATGAACAAATAAGGAAATATAATTATTATATGTATGTGTTTACGATATTTAAATATGTACGCTTTACAATATTCAAACTTTCAAATAATAACAAAATTACTAAGTACCTACTGATTGTACTGCACATAAACGGTAACAAAAATAGATTTTTATTAACAATAGTTACTATATATGTACATATATAAATAAAAGACTTAAAATGGAATATTAACGAACAGTCTGTTTTAATTAAAACAAACTCAAAAAATTAAAATAAAATTGTAGGGTACCAAATTTAGTCTTAAAAAGACGTCTAACTCGCGCCCTTTTTATGACGTCATAATATCGTCCACAATAAGACGTCAAATACATGTTATATAAAAGACATGTGACGTCTTGGACGAAATATAACGTAAAATATACAATGAGACCATGTGTGCTACCTGGGCAGTTAACCGACATTTGTGAAACTGGTCCTTAGACTTGTAATTTTACATGAAATTTTTTGATAGTGTGCATAATATAATATACAAGGTATATATTTATAATAATTATAATATTTCACCATTGACATGCACACACATGCATAGATAAATAAATTCGCATAAATACCTGGGAACCGACGTAGAAATCCTGTCGTTGCCCCGTAATACTGCCACGACAGTGTAGGGTCGCTCTCGTAATTATTAACAAACAGTAGATCCAAGTACTCGCTCCATTGAATGCCCGATGCAACGTCACGTTCTGCAAGTAAAGGGCTAATTTGCGACGGGCCTAACTGAGTCGGATTATTTTTCTGGACGATAAAATTCTCTCCTTATTTAAACTATGAAGCGAATAGGACGTGATGCAGATAACCCTCACTCGCAGAATACTAGCAATTGACACTTTTAAGTTTATCGAAGCTATCTGTCGCGAGACGCTCACCGTTGTCTTTGACTCCGTTCGGCAGGAGTACGGCGGATAAGCTGACATTCACCGCTAAGTGGTCGAAGTGGCGATTCATAGCGAGAAACACCTCCTGCGCGGAACCCTTCTCATCGCTGACGAAGCTATTAAGCCGATGCGAGGCGTAATATTTGGGCGACACGTTTCCATCCCTCGGTGCCGATACTGCGGCCTGCTCGGCGCTCTCCACCAATCTCTGCGAAAAGGACGAATGAACAACGTTGTCACAAGGAGGAAAACGCTCGTTCTAAAGAAAAGCTACACGGAGAGAATTTTTTCTTCAAGTTTATCCTGAAAATCATGTGATCGCGGGACAACATGGCACTTCGAAGAATTTTATCAGAGTTTTTGAAATTTTACTATACATTTTTTTAGTGATTATACTTATTGTTAGTACATTTGACTCATGGAATGTATGGTAAATTTCAAAAAACGCATAAAGTTTTCCGAAATGCCACATGTTGTCCCACGATTACAGAATTTTTAAGGTAAATTTTAAAAGAAAATTCTCTCCGCATATGTGAATAAATAAACGGTCAACTCGCGGGCTATCAAAAGATATCACTACACTAGAAAAAATTTCGCTACCGTAGCTAATCATCATTTGCTAAAAATATTTTGTTGCCATAACCATAAATTTCTAAACCACAGAAAACGGTTTGCTGTCGCACGTCGCACCTAATACAATAGACACAACAGCAAAATATTAGCTATCACAACGAAATATTAGCTGTCCATATTTTACAACTAAAATTTAGTTACCACGTGCAGTTTTTAGCTACGGCAGGTTCCAACAAGTTTATTCACCAATCAATAGAAAAAAATGTACCTAACTTGGAAAATTCTTAATATTCTAACAACGCTGAAGCTCAACATAGATATTCAAAGAAAAGTGGTCGAATAATATGATATTAAACTGAACGTCAACAAGTGTGTGTGTGTGATATTAATTAAGTTAAAAGTTAAAAATCTGCAAATATAATGAATGAATGTTATAAAAATCTATAAAGTAGCTACGTTATGTTTTACAAATGCGCGTTTAGCGCTAAGCTTCAAACGACATGTAACCCGCATCAAAAATCGATATAAAATTCCACTTTTAACACTGCTTAGAAAAAAAGGGGAAAAGAAAACATGGAACAAGAACGGAGATGATCGTTTCCCGTTGTTTTTCGAGCGCTGAATGCAATCCCGTTTTATCAGATTCTTCTGTCACGTCACAATTTTGAGAAATTTGCAAGTAAGAGCTAGTTTTTGACATGATACGTGACGTGATGGAGAGGTTTTGTTGCAATTAACAACTTAAATATGCGATTGGGATTTTCAGCTCCTTACATTTGTTGTATTTTGTTTGTTTTAGTCATTCGTACGAGAGTCTTGCACATTCCAACCACTTTGTGTAACTTAAAATGTGCAGGAAACAATTTAATGTTAATATATTTGTAAATTTCAACTTTAATATAATTTTGAAACTATTATTGCTTTTTTACCTTCGCCCCTCCACCCCCCCCCCCCTCTCTCTCTCTCTCTCTTTCTCTCTCATTAGTGTGACATCTTATTATTGACACGACGTTTATTTTCACACTTTTACGCCATGGAATTCGCTTGTAAGAAGAAATTTCTAGGAATTTTATTAACTCGACGAATAGACAGCCACGTGGACAGTCAACTTTCTGCGTTATATCTCAAAATTACGTGAAAGAAAATTAGTAATTACAATTAATGAACTTTAGAATTGCAATTTCTTGATACAGCAAAACTGTCTATCGAGAGCAATTCAAAGTATGATTTAAAATCGTCACACGAAACACATCTGTTGAGGTAACGTGTGTTTTCGCTTTTCAAAAAGAAAGTTGGAAGAGTTTGTCATAAGAAAAAACTATTAGTTCTAATAATTGTGACAATTTTCAATGTTCTTTGTTACGCTGTCGAATCTTAGTTGGAAATGCTAAGTTGGCGCGGTAAATTGTATGTTGAATCAATGCATTCATTTCCAAGTGCAAGTTCGAGACCCTTGTATAAAATGAAGACAAAAGCGATGTATCTAGCGTGAGATCAATTTCACCGAGTAAGACTTTTCCGTTCGAAGATGTATTCTAGGTTAATAAACTTAGATTCGTGAAATTAATCTTGTAACTACTAAATTATATCCTTGACTCACGATCCACGATGCAATTATTACAAAAAGGTGAAAATTTATGTAAATTAATTTTTACATCGTGGAAAAATCGCGCACAATTATTTGACTCATCTACTCAGGCAACAACTCTATTGCGATGTGAAAAGCTGAAAATTTAGGTAAGACTTCCGAATAGCCGCAACCTCCAAATTTGATGAAACTTGCAGCAATTGTAGACCATAAGATAATACGTTCACACCATAAAGGATTTTTTGCGAAACCAATAGAAGTGGAGAAATTAATTCAAGTCAAAAATTGATGTATTTGGGTTTATTTTATCAAATACTGAAAAATTCAGAAAATGTTTTAAACGAAAGTTGTAGATCTCTTTGAAATATGCATTTTATGTCCTATTCATTTTTTCCATACGAGTGATAATTTTCGAGAAAATTAAAGTTAAAGATATATGGAGAGTTTGCTTATTGTCACCAGTAATGATTAAAAATTGAGACGGGAAACTTATAATCAACCCAACTGGCTAGTTATTTAATCAGTTTATAACACAACGTTTCGACCCTATTCTTTTGGGTCCTTTTCGAGTGATACTGCAAATCAACAACAACAACGCAGTTATGAAATAATGTAAGTTAATAAGTAAAAAAGATTTAGTTGAAAGTTAAAAGTTAAATAACGCACCTAAGTCAGTCATCGTCGTTGAATCCTTTTTACTTATTAACTTACATTATTTCATAACTGCGTTGTTGTTGATTTGCAATATCACTCGAAAAAGACCCAACCCACACAGCACAGAAAGATTGCAGGAAGATTGCAGAAATGTTACATTGCAAGATTGCAACATTGCAGCAACGTTGCGCAACATTGTTGCAACGTGTCTGGAGGATTGCAGCAACGTTGAAATGTCCGCCCTCAGAGAGATTGCAGTGCAAC